GACCCCATTTAAATAAAGAAATAATACATCAATGTGTGTGTACATTTTTTGACCCCCACATTTTTTTATTTGACCCCCATTTCTGATACTGAGGGTTTTTGTTGACCCTCAGCTTTACACCCTGGGATTTACACACACACCAATGAAACAAATACATTTAAAAATATGTTCCAGAAATTGTTATTGTGTATTTAACCCATTTCTGCATCATTCTGGTATTCCAAACTATTGGTCCAATAGCAGAACACTGAACAGGTTTAAAAAAAAAACGTTTCACAAAATACAAATTACTGTTGATATGAATCAAAGCATACATTACCCAACCAACAGTGTACTATGTACTATTCACCAGTAAATAAGTATTATGCAACAGTAAAAGAATTCAATATGAACAATGTAATTACTCTTTACTGTGTAAACATCATTTGCTGTGATACTTAAATATCAAAGCAAATATGGAAATTATGATTATCTGAAACCCCATTTGGACATGTTTCTTTGCATTTAGATCATCCACACATGATTTATGAAAGTTACATTTAATCTATACAGCTGGTGCACACAATTCTCACACATATAAAACATAAAATATGACAAATTTAATTATTGATAACCACAATATAATTAATTTAATACATCATTAATATGTTTTTATTAATTTCTTAAGCATTAAACTATTGTATACATTACAATAACTACTGTTAATAACAAATTCATTTACTTTTAAAACTGTCGCCAAAATGGGCAATTTCCAACTTCTTTGATGTATCACTTGCTGTAAAGAAAGTACATATTGATTTATAACTAATATTAAATTTCAAAGCTATGAATGATACTTATGCAACCAATATACAATATGCTATATACGAAATAAATTAAGTGCATTGTGTTGTTTTCACTTCGTTCCTGTGTTTTTATGCACCCCACACTTTCAATGCTGATCAATACATAGTCCGAGTTTCGCAACATGTTTCGGGCTGCTGTTATCCCAATTAATATGTTGAATAATACGTGTTTTTTCTTGTTATTGTAGATATTGCGTGACTTTCATTCAATATTTTCGAGTTTATGTCTTCTTTCTGCAATACTGGAATGAAAGGTTTTATGCATAAACCTATATTGCAACATGGCAGGTAAAGACGAATACACGGAAGCTCTTGCCAATGAGATACTTTAAGAAAAGGGATACTATTTTAATATTAAAGAACTACAGTATGATGTAATAAAATCAGTTATCAATGAAGGTGACACATTTGCCGTCTTCCACAAGGGGTATGGGAAAACGCGGTTTTTTGTTGTTATCACGTGACTATTTGACCTATGACGTTTATGCATATCTGCTGCGAGATTTGGTTAGTCATGTGACTAGCAATGAAAATGGTGCGAACGAGGTCAAAATTCATCAACGATGTAGTTACGTCTCGTCTGACAACGGATTAAAGACAAAATCGTGTTATGCTTGTAATTTCTGAGAAAATAAATGATTTCCCTATCGATTTAATGTAATTATGGGTCAATGTAAGGTCATTTAAGTTTGCTAGGCCTGATAGTTGGCGAGTACCCTATGCCGACACCAAATGGTGTGGGCAAATTCCAAGTTTTTGATAGGGAATAGACTCTAACTCTACACCCCAACATAAAAAACCAGATATCAAAAATGGGATGTCAAGGGTCAGAGGAAACTCGGACTAATCAATACAGTACAATTCGTACAAGAGTATGGACAGACAGAAACCAGTCAGGTACATGCAATTTTAAGTTTTCTTCATTCATATCACCTTTCCTTTTAAAAGAAAAAACCGTGCTAAAAAAAACAAGAAAAGATAAAAGGGCATGCGTTAACTACATGCAAAATATTAAATAGACTTTCCCTTTGTGAAGGAATGTTCAAGATTCGACCTGCTTCTAACAACCGACAGCTTTATGAATAGAATTGTTATAAAGGTGATTCTCTACCAAATATAACTATTCATATTATCTTCCACGATCTTGAGTTATTTTATCAGATTTGTTTAAAACTGCGTCTGTTCTTACTCTAAAACTGATGTTCCTGGACGTCACTGCCTTGGCTCTCACTTCCAGTCCGCCATGACAGTTTACTGTAGACTGGTTCGAAAGAAGAACTGATCTCCGAATGTTATATCATGGTGTCGATGTAAACTTTACTCATTTTAAATAATTCCTCCTAACATTCCTATTTTGTATTATCTAAGAGGAAAAGTGGCACAATGCGAAATACAGCAATGAAAAGTTCCATTCGCTCGACATTTTTGCGTTTTCTCAGTCTCTACTATTCCTAAGATCAATATATCATATTCACTTAATAATAATAATAATAATAATAATAATAATAATAATAATAATAATAATAATAATAATAATAATAATAATAAAAAATAAAACTAACAAGCAATCTATTTTTGTTAAATTTATTCGCATATTCCAAAATATTCGCATGCGATCCAAGCGCTAAGATAGATAGATAGATAGATAGATAGATAGATAGATAGATAGATAGATAGATAGATAGATAGATAGATAGATAGATAGATAGATAGATAGATAGATATACACATATGTTGTAGTTCACCGTCTTTAATCTCAATATTTTGGAGTTACATTTATCTGAACACATGTGTAGGAGAATTTCTCCTTTTATTTGTTTATTTCGATATTAAAATAATAAAAGTAGACATCGCAAGTATTTGACACGGACGACACAGATTTGACTGAAATTAACTATTCTAAAAACTAGAAAAGCTTAGTGAGCAGTCTAGTTGTTTGTTTATATTGAGTCTTTCTTCAGTTTGAAATGCAAAAATTCAACCAACAAACAAACCAACTTTAAATCGCGATGGCAGCTTCTCTCCCATTTTTTAATGCAAGGTGACATCTCTTTTTAATATCCTAAATACGCGCTCTCAGAAAAGCCGATTATTCGTATCCCTAGCAAATTGTATGATCAATAGATTAGTTAAAACCAATGATACTGAAATTTCAACGGACATTATCTATGGACAAGTTTTCAAAAAATTTGTTAACGCAATTTCCGCTTAAAGCGTGATGTTATTATTTGAACCCTGAGCATCCCGTTATACCGGGGTTTTACCTGTATACATATAGACATTACTGCTACTGTAATTAAGTCAACTTAAAATTAATTACAGCTACAAAAGTCTTAGCCCAAATGGTAATGGTACATGACTACACCAAAATTAAAAAAAAAATTAGCACATCTACTACTAAGCATTTTCATGGCTAAGAATTATTGCCTGCTTTCAGTTTCTCAAGCGAGAAGGTGCAAATATTATCACAGCTCTAACTTATTGGAAAAGCATTATAAACAAGGTTAAAAATCTTTGTTCTGTCCATTCACCTAATTTTGACTTGCATTCTATAGAATACTGAAGAAACAATTTTAATTTTTGTCGGCATAAGAACAAAATATTAGTTAAATGCCGTATCTTTAATGCTGATGTAAAAACGACACATTAGTGTTTACTGTGCCGGATTTACCATTGTGCTTAGGTGTGCTTAAGCAGAAGGCCCATGTTGGCCGGGGGGGGGGGCATCTTCTTGGGCCCCCCCCAAAAAAAAAAAATTACGATGAAATTTGCAAAAGTCTGTGGCTATTTTAACTAGTCCTAAATTTCCTGAGTATATATGTCTAACTACTTGTGTAGGGCTAACGGACCTACCTCGTCCATGCCCAAGCAAGGGGCCTCATAACTTAACTAGCACAGGGCTTCATTTGTCCTAGATCCGGCACTGAGTGTTTACATTTTTATTTTGTCTCTAATTTATTCCGATGAGATGGCGGTCGATTATAAACTGGGAATATCAAAGCGTTAAACGAAGAATATGATCAATAACGATGGATGATGATCATTTAGATTTTGTATTAGTTCCCGTTAAGTCATGGGCCATCCCCCCCCCAATTAATTGGCAAATTTAAGATAAATTTGTGTTACTGATTATGTTTGTTTTGCTGTTATTTAGGTCCGATGAAGTTGTGGTGTAAGGAATTGCAATTACTGTTATTTATTCACGTCCCTATGATCTCCAACGAATGTATTGTTCAATGGCATCTATTCAAAATAGAATACGAAGCACTTTAATATTCATTCTAAACGTTTGTCATGATTTCAATGTTACATACACAAAAGGGCAAAGCAAATAACAATGGTTATACTCCGCATCCGCTGGAAACACTTTTCGTTTGTGATCTTTGAGTTCTTCCAACAGCCATAAAGCAGTGCATAACACATCCTGCTGTCCTGCAGAACAAAGGCGGTTAGAACCTGCTTAAACCTTTTATGTTTTAAACGAAGTGCTATTTCATTGCATTAATTTTATCAAATCATGCTTTTGTACATAAGACGAATTCTATTCACTCGTGGAAATTTTATTGTCGTTAAGGATTTATTACATCGTTACGTAATACTTTATTGTACTCCAGGCCTAGGAGGATAGGGCGCTTAGCAACACTACACTTCTCTTCGAATAATAAACGAATACATCTGTTATCAGCTCATCCGAATTTTTCGCCTTCGGGGAAAATAGGGCTGGGATGGATATTTTCTTAGGATAGATAATCGGTAATAATCTAGATTAGTTTCCGAGGGATTCAGATGAAATATATTTATAGTGAATTCTACCTTTTCTCCATTAGATTAATTTCTTCCGTATTCGGGGGAGGTAAGAACGTAACATTTACTATCGTTATGGCTCCAGGACATATATTTATAATCAGAGAAAAAAAGAAAGAGGCAGACCTGAAATTATAATCGAATATGTTCTAGTCTTGTATAACGTACACTACATACGTAAATATGTCTAGTTTCTCTTTTACCTTGTTGGCATCATACCGCAGACATGTAGCATGATGTCCCACCCAGTCACATTATCCTGACACCAGGTCGACCAGTCCTAACACTGACCTCTTAATGCTGAGCGTCAAGCGAGGCAGCTGTTAGTACCATTTTTGTAAGTCTTTGGTATGACTCGACCGGGGATTGAACCCATTACCTCCCGCATCCAAGGCGGAAGTTCTAACCACTAAACCACGGGGGCGATTATATCTCAAAAGATATATGGTATATTATATAAGCACACATACGAGTGACAGTGATAATGGTTTTTATTTAGAATTATTAATATCTGTAAAGGCCAAACGGATATCTGGACCAGGCAGGGTTTTAAAATTAAATTATGATCTTTACTGGTCTATAGGAGCTCGTATTGTTGCTTACAATTTACCTGTCATACATGTACCATACAATAACTATTTATTATACTAGTTAGTATATAATAATTATTATTTAGTACATGTATGACAGGTTAATTGTAAGAAGCGATAAGAACCCCTCTGGGCTAATCAGGTCCCACCCACCCCACCCTGTTTTTCTGGGTGTCAGTAATACATCATTTTTTAAACAAAAAAAAATCCACAAAGCGCTGTTTTTTGGTTGACAACTTGAAATGAGAGTGGGGTTGGGAAATAGGACAAAATAGGAGTGGAGAAACCCGACCCGGTAAAACCAGGCCGGCTAGATACCTGACGAGTACCTAACAAAATTTCCCTACCCGTCAAACTACTATGGGCCGATTGAACCGACTTGTTTCAAAGGGGTCCCGCGGGTTAGTAATATTTAAAAATATATCCATAGAGAGAAAGTAATTTTAAAGAGATGAAAGAAAATTTTCAGTTCAATATCATATAAAACTTGTTTATTTGCAAATGCCGTTTCTCTTTGTCTCATTGTCATATATAACGCTTAGAACGGCTGACGACATATAGGATGTAATTCAGCTATTGATATATATATAAAGATCATTTCTGATTTGTGTGAACTCACGTTTCCAACTGCAGAAATGAAACATGGTCATTTGATGGATTAGTTATAATACAAAAAGCTACTTTTTAATTTTAAAAAACTTTCTTCTATGATATATTCTTCATATTATCTTGATTTCATTGCCTTTTGTCCGTTCTCTACACCGATAACAATTTCATGTACAAAGCTGTATCGCAGAATTGTCATTGGATACATCTGAAGTGCAATGATAAATATTTTAAAATATTTATGAAGATGTGTAACACACACACACACACACACACACACACACACACACACACACACACACTGAAATGGATGCTTTGTACGTGGCCTCTTTCCATTTTTATACCATATGGCGACCTTAGGAAAAATATATAAATAAAAACAGTTGTATTCATCCTGGTACTAATATTAGTACCTTAGTCCTTTTGAGGACACAACAAAACAAGTTGAGGCTACGACATCGTAGCTATATTCATCCAAGAAAACATGACATTTACAGTTAAGGAAATTTAATCTAGAATAATAGGGAAAATTGCAAAGGTGGTAGTAGTGTTGATTATAAACCGTTTACTGTAGCCTTGATAAAAGAAATAGTGGTCACAGCATTATCGATCCCACCGTCAAAATGACTTTTGATAGGATGAAATTTATGATTGAAATAAAATATTATAACACTTCACCAACAGTGTTTTCTATTTTAGGTGCACTACAGTACAGTTTACATGTACAATGGATTTTAACATTAATATTAGAGCTCATTGAGAATCTAACACAGACGAAGTTGAGTTAGTCTAAAGGCTGTTATCCACGCGATCCGTAATTGGCAGAAAAATTTATTTATAATTTACATTACTGGAAAAACTTAAACTCTTATTTTGGTTCTGGTCCTACCAGGTAAGACCATCTATTTTAGACTGTCTTTTGATGATCCAAACCACATAAGACTGACGCTTTATCAGTCAAATACGACGAAATTTCTGCCAACATGAATTATTCTTATTGGTATTATAAGGTTTCATTTATAGTACCGATAAGGTGAGTTCATGTTGGCAGAAATTTCATCGTACTTTACTGATAAAACGTCAGACTCCTGTGATCCAAACAACGTAGATGTCAGGATAGGCCACAGGGACTCGTATCGTTGCTCACACTCGTGTGCTTATAAGAAACAATCTTGACTATCAGTTATATATATATATATATATATATATATATATATATATATATATATATATATATATATATATATATATATATATATATATATATATATACTGGTTATAGACCAATTCTCGCCGTGTACAATTGTCACCATATTAATAATAACTCGCGACTGCAGGCAAAGTTTTGGTTCCTGTTTAAAAAAAATAAAAAGAGTGATTATAGCTGAAAATCACGATCGAAAATAAGCATCAGAATAATATTATTAACAGTTATTATTATGGCAACAATTGGTACCAGCAAGAATTGGTCTATAACCAATATATATATATATATATATATATATATATATATATATATATATATATATATATATATATGAGCACTGTAGGTAGATTTTTTACATTGTATGACTAATTTGTTTATTGATTGGATATTATAACACTTCTTTCATCATGTTTTTGATGGTATAAACTAGTTTCAGATGGGCGTTGCAAAAATGATTATGATGAATTGTAAGTTAAATCATATCAAATTTACATGGGCTCATCTTTAGTTCAACATATAACATGGCATAGCACATCAAATTACACCAATGATGCATAATAAAAGTATTTTAAATTGATTGGCATGTGAAAAAATGTCTTAAATTGTTAAAATTTGATCTTTTTATAATCAAAATGATTATGGAGTTAGGTGATTTGGATTTATATTCATGATTCTATACATTTGATTGTTTCATTTATTTATAGGATTGGGAACATTTAATTTTCTTTCATTTTTGTTTCATATTTTCTTTCTGTCTTTATAATATTCTATAGTCAATTTTTCTGAAGAAATCACAGTCCAATCTGTTAATTTATTTGAGCTCTTTTTTTGTGAGATCTAGAACTTCTAAATTATATCTATATCTATTAAGGAAATAAAGGCAAACTAACCTATATAAACTACTTTCATCTTGATAGGTTCTGTCTAGTGTTTAAATAATTATGTGAAAGTTCATCTGATGTAAAATTCCTAGGTTGTATTTTGAAGAAAAAAAATGCAGTACATGTAAAAGGGAATTTTAGCAGGTATGGGTCTTCTCCCAACTCCTGATCATCCTGAATGTCATAATAAGTACTTCAACAGATCTTGTTTTGTGTTTACCTGTGACCTTAATCCTATTATAATTACATAATGGTTTTGATGTGACGGATTCTAATTTCTGCTCCAAATCTTCTTGTATATTCTTCAGATGAATCTACTATATATGTTTTTCTCTTTTAATTGTTTTAATTTCTTCTATTGAAGGATAGGCTCCATACAAATTGATCTAATGATATTCATAATTTTAAATATAGCCTTATTGACACTGAGAGAAAAATGGTAAGGTAGGTTATAAACTGTAAATTTTGAATAATAATAATAATAATAATAATAATAATAATAATAATAATAATAATAATAATAATTCAAAAACAATTTACAATAATACTTCATTGGCAGTATATAGGCCTCTGCTTTGCTCTCTGTAACATCAAACAGCAACTTATGGTATCACTATCACATTAAAATGTACATTTAATATCTTTGCCAATATAAAATATTTTTTTTTGGCTACCATGTTTGAAAGTGTTCTTACAACTTTTGTGGTGTAGAAACAAAGTTCAATATAAATGGAAGAACTACTTCCCATGGTGGCTCTTCAGTGCATTACTTTTGTCATAAAAAAATACAAGAGTATCTGTTAAATACTTTTTTATTTCCTGTAGGTTCTTGAGAGTCTCAGGTTGTTTTAAACAAGTCTGAAGTTGTTTATCCAGATTGGTGGCAAAATATAGTCTTAATTTGATACAGTGTTTGCTACTCAATAGTGCCATAGGTTTATTTAAGGTAATGCAAGCGTCATTAGTGTTCATCTAGAGACTGGATGGTACTGATGTTCAGAACTCTGGATGACCATAATGTACTGTATCTGATGCAGTCTGGTCACAAGATATACTTGTCTTCATAGAAAAATGAATATATATCACAATTTGGACTGATGATATTGTTGGAGGAAGGTGCAGTGGGGGCATATGCTTTCATATTTAATAGGTGTTTTGCAAGTAATACAGCAACAATTAATGCCTCTGTACAGTGGTAATACTTTATCAACACAAATCAGCTCATGTTTGGTTATAATTATCTTTCATTCAAACTATTTCATGGATAAAATTATCATGAAAAGTATCAGTCAGTAACTATTTTAATAAGATTATAATAACAAATAAATAATGAAGAGAACAAATGTTAAATGCAGTGTGTTGAATATGCTATATAAAGATGATGCATGGACGTCATACACACAGGAATATGTTTGCAGTATGTGCAATAAAGTAAAGTAAAATCTTAGGATTCTACATGGCACTGAACATGTCTTAAATATGCATATTGATCAAAATGATTGTCAAACTGAAAAAAAGTAAGTGCTTGCTTTACAGGCCAGTGGCTTTTTGGGCTATGTGCATGGGTAATAAATTTGGAAAATATAACTTGGGAATTAAATCTAACTTATGGAAAAGGAAAATTGAAATCAAATCAAAACTTTTTTATTGCATCAAACACAGTGTGATACAGCACAAGATAAATATGAATACAAATACAGGTTGTTATAAAATTGGAAGCAATATACTTACTAGTAAACACCCACAGTGAACAACATTGACAGAGACTTTACATTTTGCAGTGGGTTGTCTTTAATTTACTGATATTTTTAAATTTATTCAAATCCAAATAACTATATTAAGGTATTGTGTAATGAATAATGTCATGAGATGGATAATGTGTACCATATATTCATTTATGAATAGGAATAGTGGAATGAAAACATTAAAATATTAAAATTGACTTTTTGTCTGCTGCAAAAATCAGGAGTTTACATTGTTACCATGAGATTTCTCCATTTGTTTTGTATTTTGTGCTTATAAGATGACCCCTGCTCTGAATATATCAAATTTTATGTAAAATGTTTGATTTATATAGGCAAGTATAAATGGTAAATAGGCAAGTGTAAATGGTATATAGGCAAGTGTAAATGGTATGTAG